CTTGAAAAACAAGTTGTGTCTTTTCTGGTCCTATATCTGTCACAAAAGAGTTTTCAGTAATTTTCAACATGAAAGAAGAGGGGTATCACCATGGTTACTGTTCAGATGTTGTTACGGAGCTTAAGTAAACCACGACGACGACAAGACCGAGAACGTCACCAAAAAAAAGGTTTAATGAGCAAAACGATAGCTGTGCACGAGCGTTATAAATCTTTGTATATTTCTTTGCAGTCCTCTGTAAAACAAGAACGTGAAATGGTCAAGTTCTGCATTTGTAACTGAACGCTGTCCGTTGCATATTTAGCCAGAGCCATTGGCGTATTGAACAAATCTAGACAATTGCGAATTTTGCTGGTAAAATATAAATTCAGTTTTGACTAGGCGTCGTCCTCGGCGTGGCATCGCCGTCGTCGTTGCTTAAGCTCCCTAATATTACGAGTGGGTCGTCATGTTTGTGGGTTGGCAATGTTAATTTTCAAGAGATTATGATCCAGATCATATTTTCTTGCAATATTAAGATGACACATGGAACTGGTTATGGTTCATTAGCCTGCGAGCAGCTCACTACACACGCGAGCGGAGAAGAGCGAGTCGGCTGGCCCAAACATGAGCCTACTCGAAGGCCAATGTTTCATTGGCACAGCAGAAAATAATCTTCTCTCCTTTAGGAATATATCTTCACGATTGTGTCCTACACAGCTGATATGCCACAAGGTGTCCAAGAACAGATTCTTAGTGAAAGCTTGGGCCAATGGTTCAGCGCTGTTCCTCAGGCGGCAGGATGCAGAAAACGACGCTCGTCTGATCCGGTCAAAAAAGAAGTGAAAAATATATCAGTTAGTTTTGTAAAGGGAGAGCACGGGGATCCGTTGCCATTTGATGGAGCAGGGGGATCAATTGGTCATGTAATATTCCCACGCAGCAACTCAAGTAAGTACCGCACGCAAATGGAGAAAAGAGAGAAAAGCTGAGAAAAGCTGTGGTTGATAATCTCTTAGATATGTAATTATACTTCAGTCCTCGTACTAAACTCTTTCAAATGGGCATAATTCTGANTATATTTCTTTGCAGTCCTCTGTAAAACAAGAACGTGAAATGGCTAAGTTCTGCATTTGTAACTGAACGCTGTCCATTGCATATTTAGCCAGAGCCATTGGCGTACTGAACAAATCTAGACAATTGCAAATTTTGCTGGTAAAATATAAATTCAGTTTTGACTAGGCGTCGTCCTCGGCGTGGCGTCGCCGTAATCGTTGCTTAAGCTCCCTAATATTACGAGTGGGTCGTCACTCTGAGGTTTGTGGATTGACGATGTTAATTTTCAAGAGATTATGATCCAGATCATATTTTCTTGCAATATTAAGATAACACGTGGAACTGGTTATGGTTCATTAGCCTGCAAGCAAGCTCACCACACGCGCGAACGACGATGAGCGAGTCGGCTAAGGAAGCGATCTGGTGAGAGGAGTCAGGTGAATAGGCGTTCTCTCTTTCAGCATCCTTGGTTCTCAACAGATGCGGGCAAGTTTTAACCAGTGAGCGGGCTCACTTTTGAGTCACACGCGCGAGCGGCGAAGAGCGAGTCGGCTGGCCCAAATATGAGCCTACTCGAAGGCTAATGTTTCATTGCCACAGCAGAAAACAATATTCTCTCCTTTAGGAATATATCTTCACGATTATGTCCTACACAGCTGATATGCCACAAGGTGTCCAAGAACAGATTCTTAGTGAAAGCTTGGGCCAATGGTTCAGTGCTGTTCCTCAGGCGGCAGGATGCAGATCTAGAAAACGACGCTCGTCTGATCCGGTCAAAAAAGAAGTGAAAAATATATCAGTTAGTTTTGTAAAGGGAGAGCACGGGGATCCGTTGCCATTTGATGGAGCAGGGGGATCAATTGGTCATGTAATATTCCCACGCAGCAACTCAAGTAAGTACCGCACGCAAATGGAGAAAAGAGAGAAAAGCTGAGAAAAGCTGTGGTTGATAATCTCTTAGATATGTAATTATACTTCAGTCCTCGTACTAAACTCTTTCAAATGGGCATAATTCTGAAAAGTTCATGTGGTTGTGTGTAATATCAACATCAATTAGTAATTTGTTTTTCCCAATGCAGAGTTTCAACAAGGCTCAATCAATTTCAGGTTTTCGTGAAGTGTCAGTATAACGCCAACATCCAAGTAATCAAATTCTATATTAAATTCAAATATAACTTTTACAAGAAAAACTACTGAGGGTGTTAACGTTTCAACTGATATCGAAGACTGCATACAGCAAGACACATGAGCTTAACAGTTTTCACCCCAGTCTCAACGATTCGTAACCCGCGATCAAGCGTTCCTTTGTTTTGGCAAACGGGGTGTTAAAAAAGAACGCCTGATCACAGGTTAAACGATTCGGATCTCTGGACGCCAACTTGTGGGTGTTTAATCATTTCGCAAGCTACATTGATTTTATCTTGCTAATTTTAAAAAGCACAATAAACAGCTGTAGCCTAGACCAACTTGAAATTTAATCCCTTCTCATTCTGTTTCAGGCAGATGGTTTGCCGAAGTTCATTTTGATGACGATGAAACATTCACCAATGGAACAAGAGGCGGCATCAACTTAGAATGGCTGTCGTTACATGAATTTGCTCACGGTTTCGGTTTGAAACATTCCAACGTACGCGAGTCCGTCATGTACCCTTGGTACAAAGGTTATATCAAGGNTGCAGAGTTTCAACAAGGCTCAATCAATTTCAGGTTTTCGTGAAGTGTCAGTATAACGCCAACATCCAAGAAATCAAATTCTATATTAAATTCAACTATAACTTTTCCAAAAAAAAAACTACTGAGGGTGTTAACGTTTTAACTGATATCGAAAACAGTATACAGCAAGACACATGAGCTTAACAGTTTTCACCCCAGTCTCAACGATTCGTAACCCGCGATCAGGCGTTCTTTTGTTTTGGCGAACGGGGTGTTTAAAAAAAGAACGCCTGATCACAGGTTAAACGATTCGGATCTCTGCACGCCGACTTGGACGTGGGTGTTTAATCATTTCGCGAGCTACATTGATTTTAACTTGCTAATTAAGCACAATAAACAGCTGTAGTCTAGAACAACTTGGAATTTAATCCCTTCTCATTCTGTTTCAGGCAGATGGCTTGCCGAAGTTCATTTTGATGACGATGAAACATTCACCAATGGAACAAAAGGCGGCATCAACTTAGAATGGCTGTCGTTACATGAATTTGCTCACGGTTTCGGTATGAAACATTCCAACGTACGCGAGTCCGTCATGTACCCTTGGTACAAAGGTTATATCAAGGACATCAAGCTTACCAGTTATGACATTCAAAACCTTCAGGCGCTTTATGGTGAGTCAATAGAGCTAAGTACAGTATCGGTGGGTAACCGATGAAAGACGACAATGTGCCAAAACTAGACTGATATTCTGGTACGAATTTGCCGAATATGGCTCAGCTCACGTCGCGTATACCTAGAATCAGATATTCTTAGGTAACACCCCGCAGTTGTTACAAATCAGCATCGGATGCGGTTCTAACTTCACTCTCGTAAACTTTATTAAGTTAACATACCAAACGCGAGAGACAGTGTTCCATCGCATTTCCAAACACCGAAAGACAGTCGCAAATGCGACGCGCAGCGGAGTATTCTTGACAAACTTCAAGGAATTTGGAAACCTGGCAAAACACTCTCTCGAGTTTAATAAATCTTCTCGACTGATAAAAAAACGGAGTAATGAAATCGTAAAAATCTATGTTGATTAAGAGAGGATATCCAAACACCGTCGCGGTCATGATTTCCTTTGATTAAACATTGAGTTTGAGAAGTTTAGGTAAAGCCCTCAAGAAGTCTGTCTTTTTAATACAGTCAAACCCCTATTAGGCGGCCGGCACGCTCGGGGAAATGCGAGGTGGCTGCTTAATAGGGGTTAACCGCTTAATAGAGGTTGGTGTACCTTGAATATTTTTCACCATCGGGTTAATTTCTCAGTGAACATGGAATCACCTCAAGACATATCATGATAAACGTGTGTTTGAATGTTTTTATCTCTCGTCACCCTCTATTTCGGACTCTTATCTGCCATCGCCTTTTCCAAAACAAAGTTTTTAAATTTTGGGTGGCCGTTTGAAAGGGGTATAGACAATAGAAAAACCCTCATCGAGATGACCAAAAGGTAGCCGCGGCCGCTTAATAGAGGTGGCCGGTTAATAGGGGTTTTATTTACAGTGTTGACTGTACTGACAATAATTTCGGCCGCTCAATAAGGGGTGGGCGCTTAATAGGTGGCCGCTTATTAGAGGTTCGACTGTACTATCAGTTAAATTTGATTTAAACCACAGAAAAACCAACAACAGACCCTGATACAACAACAAAAGCGACACCAAAAGTCACGACTCCACTCACCAAGAAGCCAGCTACATCTCCTCCGATTTTGGATGTTTGTAAAATGAAGAAGTTCGACTCATTCCTGATGGGTATGGATGGCAGAACGTACGTGTTCAGTGGGGATTATTTCTGGGTGCTCTCTGTTAGGCTCACCGTGGAAAGCGGCCCCATAAAGATAACTTCAAAGTGGAAGGAACTCAAAACACCCATAGACAGCGCATATACAAACCGCGACGGAAAGACTGTGTTCTTTAAAGGAAACGAGTAAGTCTAGCTACTGGATTAGACAGAAATACGTGCAGTTTCTTCTTCTAGATGTAGTGATCTTTCTTCATTGCAGGTCATATAAAGATTGTACTTACACCTAATTTAGATACATTGTAAAGTTACTTCATATCATTTTCACTGAGTATAGTATATATATATATATTACTTAAGTTTGAGATAATTAAAGAGAACAGAATTATCTCACTGTATTTTGGCAGTTCTTAATTTATTTGACAAATATTGTATTTCTCAGATATTGGAAGTATAATGGCTACATACTTGAGAAAGGACCCGGCGACATCAGTCAATACGGCCTACCATCCTCACTGCGTCACCCTGAAGTCGCTTTTGTTTGGGGAGGCAATAAAAAGACGTATTTCTTCAAAGGAAATAACTATTGGCGTTACAACGAGTTCAAGGGAGCTGTTGACGACAATTACCCAAAGCCGATCGCTGTGTGGGGTAAGGAATTACCTAATTTATAAATCTTTCAGTTTCAAGTTTCTTTGGCAACCGTACGGCTATTTTCTCTATTGGTGCTTATTATAATTAAGTAAGAGTGAAGACCAAGTTCAACAAAACTATTAGCTTGGGGTGATGAAATTAAACTTTCTCAGATCTCAACTACTTGTTAAAAAGCGCCTCATTTCTCGGCTGACAGTTTCACTTGTGACCAAATGTCAGATATCAGTTAAAGCCTGTTCAGACGCTGCTATTGAAACAGAGATTTATCTGCCACGTTTGGTGCCTTTTTTTTTATCTCAAGGTGACAAATTCATATAGGCTCATACAACCCTCGATAAAAGAGCTTGAGTAGCATGTGAAACGTCGATGTTCGCCACTAGCTGAAAAAATTCACCGAGGTCTTTCTCGATCACGAAACACGCCAGTGACCATTAAAACCACCAGTAAAACAAATGCTTCCCATTCTCCCATCAATTAACATTTCTCGTCGAATCCGGGACACACACAAGGAAGAATAAAAACGACCAAGGAATTTGTTAGAATCTGCTAAGACCAAGGGGTCATACGTTTACCACAGGTCGGGTCCCAGCAGGACACATTCATCAGTAAGAAATATCGATCGGTAACAAGATTTAAGGTTTCGAAAACTACAACTAATAGGGCAAGCTTTTTTTAAAAAGAGTAGACCGAAAACTGTCAGATGAAGTATAGACTTCTGTTAGTAGATATAGGGGGTCACATAGATATTTGCCTGTTTTGTCTTTCAACTTGGTGTTCTAGGTCTCCCGCATCACATGGATTCTGCCATGACCTGGAGTGGGAACAAGAGAACCTATTTCTTCAAAGATGGCGAATACTGGAGGTTTGATGACGGCTGGTTTGAGCTTGAGAAAGGATATCCACGTAGCATCGCCTCCATTTGGATGAAATGCTAAATTTCCATTCATAGATTCAGTGGATCTTCAATTTCCTGTTTGGAAAATCTACGGAGATTTAGGTTTACACTAGAATTAGTTCCACTAATCGCGAGGCTGATCTCACTTATGACAAAGGTTATCTTTATGTATAGATGATTTGCCTTGAAGTTTTATTAAAAATGTTTAATTTCTTGAAATAAAACTTGTGTCGTTACTCTCTCGTATACCCATAAGACCACCAGAAACCTTTACTAAGCAGGATGTCTTCTGCATTTTCTCCCAAAATAAGAAAATAACTCTCAATCCTCCACGAGCGCTGATTTATAACTTCTGATTTTAGCCAAAAAATTCAAGAACCCAACCATCTCAGGTAGAATATCTTAGATGTAGGGCAAAACAATTAAACGCAGAACGGGACGTGTCTCGGAAAATACTAGCGTCCTTCGCAGATGCCGTTTGGCCGGGTCGTCACACCATCTAGCTTTCCAGGCAAAAGATGTCAGTGTGGGAGGTTATGAAAATACAAGTAACAGCCTAAGTTGAGGGTGTTAAAGGCGCAGTCTAAATCCCGTTTCATGAGAAATTATAAAGGTATTTTCACGATCCACGGAAAATGAAATAGAAATTACACTTATCACGAAAAAAAAAGAGAAATTTTTCACTGGAACTTGCAAAATTATTGAGATTTTTTTTGAGTAAATGTCCAAAGAATAACCTCGCTTAGCATCCTCACAATTTGTCCTTTTCTTTAATTTATTCCACAAGAGGCAAAAGGAAAACCACGGTCTACTGAAGACTTATACGGAAGGATATAACGTTTAGCCGAGGAATTGAACGGATTTCCTTTCGGTTTATTACGTGATCACGTGTCAAAAATAATAACTGAAAAAAAGCATGATCAAAATACGAGTTGACGACGTATTGAAAACTATTTCGAAAAATCATTGCTTACGGTTGCTGAAGAAATCACAATTTCATAAAAAAAAAAATACTAGCCATTCAACATTTCACGGGAAAAAATAGTAAGCCATTCGGTCAAAGTTACTTGCATTCGTGTATCACACCTGAACCCCGATACCTTTCACCGCCCTCTAAGTTAACCGTAGGGTTTAGATGCTGCTCGCCTTTCTTGTTAATTAATAGTGTATGTGTGATTGATTGTTCTCCCACGAAAGTTTCACTAACTCGGGAAGGAGTAATAGGAATACTAAATTATTATTCCTTGACAAGCATGGTTTATTGTGAAAGCCCGGCCAGAGCCTCTTTTGATCTGGCAATCGCTTTTACCGCAAAACAAAAACTTTATCTCCCTGTATAAAACGTCCCTTTTTAGGGGAAAGGCATAACGTTACACTGGGTAAGCTGAAACAATAAGAGGAACTTAAGATGGTAAATTAATATTTGTATAGCCGAGTGTTTGCCTGTTTTTGCTTAGCAATTTGAAAGCTATAGGCTCTTGAATCTGACAACCGCTTAACCACAAAACGAAAGACTTCTACCCTCTTGAATAAAAAATCCATGTTTGGAAAAAAAGGTATATCTTTATACCGGGCAAGCGGAAACAATAAGAGGATGAGGTGATTGGTAAATTTGTTTGTTTAGCAATGACTATGTTTGTCTGTTTGCTTAGCGATTCGAAAGCTATAGGCTATTCTAATCTGACAAGCGCTTAACCGCAAACGATTTTTTCCCCTCTGGTATAGAACTTCCCATGTTTGGAGACCGGGGGAAAGCAATATCTTATACCGGGAGAGCAGAAACAAGAGGAAGAGATTTGTATAAATTTCTCACAATAATGTTTGGCGTATTTTTCTTAGCGAATCCGGTCTTTAAATAAAGTATTTTCATAGTTAGTTTTTGCTTGTACATTTTCTTCAGCAATATTCTGAGCACTTTGTTTTGCTATCTACCCAGATTATAGCTCTGTAGACATGCCTTTTTTTTGGGGGGGGGGGGGGGGGGGGAAGGTAATCGACAAAGTTTTATACGGGGAGGCTGCGCCCCAATGTTCAAACCCTTACCCTTTTGTCTACCATTTAATAGCAAAGCTACTACATTACATCTCGTTTCTAAACCCTTGAAAAGAGGTTTATGGTGTAAAGCTTAATAAATTAGATGACACAGCCGTAAGGTGCTTCTGTTAGAAGTATTATAATTTTAAGTCACCTTTAAACACCTAAATAACAGATTACCCTGCCCATTCATGTACCTGTCGTTTTACTTACCTGAAGCTTGGAAAAGGCACCCCTTTCGGGCGGAGCCTCCCTGCATAAGCCATTATAGGAAGTACCCCCCGGAGTTGGTGAAAAAAGGTTGTGGGTAGGATAGCAAGACAGTTGTAGAGAGTTGGCCGAAGAGACGGGGTCCAGGCCCCTTGGCCTGGATGCAAAATGACGATTTCTGAGGTGATGGCGCCAAACAATCGATTGGTGTTTGCAATATAAAGATTTAACCAATCCGTCACTAAGAAAGATTGGATTGTGACATGTATGTTTTTTATCATATCAATTCACAGGTTTCTACTATTGCTGGCTCGTTGGTTAGTGAAAACAGCTCAGAGTTCGACTTCTAGCGAAAATCAAATGTCATTTTTTTTTATCAATGAGCAAGTGTCCAATTTTATATTAACCAGTAAGCCGTAAAGTTCACAAAAAAAAATAGTTTCCTTAACAACGCTTGGTTTCTTCAAGATGTCTTAGGAAAAAAAACTGTCTTCAGCATCGATGAAAATTAAGGTTCTCTGCCCATTTATGAAGGGGTTTTGCATTCCTGTAACGAAGTCGTTCCGCAGTTTTCTCATTGTCAGGGTGTGTGCTCAACACTTTATCGACAACCAAACATGTCCAGTGTTTGGACCATACAAGAAAGATTGTAAGAACACGAAGAAACCAAACTAAAACAAAAACAATAACAATAAAAAAATAAAAAAAAATCGTGGATCACTTTGTTTCCTCAAAAATTCAAATGACACAGCGATAAGCTGCGGTAAAGACCACTGTATCCTTTCATACTGTTTACCACATCCAGAACACAACAAAAATATGAAGGTTTTATTAAAATTCAAGAAAAAGTCAAGTTAGTCAATTCGAGGCTGTGTTGCATGGCTTCATGGAGTGGCAGTTTTAGTGTGAAGCTGTTTACACAAAAGTTTTCAATTTTATTCACCACTTATTACAAATACACAACTTGGTTGTGAGACACACGTGGAATGTTTCTGAGAACTGAAGGAACCCGTGGTTATTCACTAGGTAATATGACGTAAACATGTGACGTCATGCTGGCCAATGTTCTCCTTTGGAGTCCCGTGGGCTTGTTCCCATTGCTTACACTGGACTATTTCAATGAAAAGAGCCATACAAAACGACAAAAATGCAGGTTTTTTTCCTTTTTCTCGTCACCCTGACTTATTTACGACATCCAAGGCAACCTTTAATTTACAGGAGAAAGAGCTGGACCGATAAATCTTAGTCTTTCAACTTGTTCCGCTCTCGAACCGGCGTTTCTGCGCCCTCGAGCCAACGTTTTCGTTGAATTCGTCCCAGGCTCCTCGCCTTTTCGAAATGCCGTCTAAACAGTGTGGAGTAGACGTCTGGATCATTCCCACGCGGACCGGGCTCAAACACATTCTGACGCAAAAGCTTCGGGATATTTCCCGCGGGTTTATAAAGAGCTACGACGTACATGGGCCCTGATTGAGTAATAGAGCTTTTAGCGCATCCAATTCCAACTTCCTTTGTGTCCTTCCATATTACCTTGGATTTACAATGAAGAAAACATGTTGATTAATAACACAATATGTAACACTTAAGGCGGGGGTTAACATAAAGGCCGTATTTTTGCTGGGTATTATATATGGTTTGAATGCAAACATCTCGTTCACGTTTCAAGCAGTGAA